CCAAAACTTTTGAGCAATAATTAATCGGGTTGGCCGCAGCAGCAAACTTATAGTGGCGTTCGTATATACCGCGCGGGGAAACTTCTCTGCAGCGGTCGGCGGCGGTGTGCGGTCGATCTCCTCCCTCCCGCCGTCGTTTACTCGTCAAGAACATTCTTTTAAATATCAGTTCAGAGGTCTTTTTTTCATCATTTCATCATTTTAAATTTGGTTTTTTCTTAGTCTTTTGTCATTGTCGGGCCGTGGCGGTGGCGGCATATCTGGTTTCTCGAGGCTAATGAGCGAAACACCCTTTGCACGGACCCCGCGGATTTCCACGACCATCGGCAAAGAGTTATTTACTCGTATTATTTCGGATATATTGCTGGCCATCAGTCAACTGGTCCCGCGGGGGGTGCTGCTGCAGTGTAAAGCGCGATCACCGCTTTTTTCTCCCCTTTGTTTAATGATCCGGAATGTGCTGCTGCTGCCGTGCCACGAAATCACATTATTTGTGAAATGTTTTATAGAATTTCGCGAAAAACTCTCATTTTACCCTACCACGATCCACTGCCACAGCGAGTCTTAAAGATTTTGTTTAATGTTATGTCCCTCCTTAAATCCTTTGACCCGGTCGTCGTAAATAAATAGAATTATTTCGTTGTACCACATGATAATTATTATATAGCGTGTTGGACATTGGTAGTAGTACAAACTGTGTGTGTGGGTGTGTATTCAGTGATCTTCACGCTCATTCATGCATTCATTTCCAACCCCATCGCCTAAATAATATTTCCCAGAGAATATTTTATAATTTTATATACATATATATATATATAGGGACGCGTGGTCGTTGTAATCGTTGTCGTTTTCCCGTGAATAAAACATGCGGCGAATTTGAATTTAAATCGAAAACGGGGTCGGTTTTAATTAATTTTCTTTTTTCTTCACTTCTGCGAACAAATCAATAAATGGAAATTTCTCGAGCACACCGCACTTGTATATATATTATTATATTATACTATATTGTATTGTTATATACCATGCATTTTGCGATATTGTAAGGGCAGTCATCGTGTCTGTAATATATATTCTTTGAACTGGAAAACGCGCCTCCCTCCCAATTGACATGATGGCATCGAAATGCTCTTTTCCGCGCAACCCGACAAAATATTTCCGTTCTACCATTAAAGAGGACACGGTTGTTCTATTCTATTATATACAATTTTTTTTTTGTGTACCTATCAAATAACGAGTGACGCCGTTGACGGGCTTCGTCTGCTGACCCGAACTATATATGCCTTTTATGTAACTATCGCTGATGTCTATATGTACCTATATATATACCACAACACGAATAATCCGAATTATTATCGTTCAATATGTTATACTATTATATATACATTTATATATTACGTGTATAATAGTGCACTACAATAGTATTAACTCCCATACAATTCTTTGAATCTATTTTTCCGCATTAATCGTTACTGCCGTATAAAATATACCGCAGAGAGTACCTATACCTCCTTCACTTATAAATTATAATACATATATTATATTGTTTGTAACATATTATACCTATATGCAGCTAGGAATATACAACAAGAATGCATATTACATAAGAACTGTTCATTAAATGCTCCGGTGTATTATGTATATGATTTTTATCGGTCATCTAGATCTCGATTGTAGTGCATATAACTATATATACACGTATAAGGTTTTTATTTTTCGTTTAGTTTTAGACATAATCTGCTCAGAGCGCAGAACACGACGTTTCTACGACGACGGTGACGGGTCGCACGTACCTATAATATAACTATACACAATACGTAATATAATATAATGTAAGGCCGTCTGCGTGCAGTGTTTTTTTTTTTTTTACTATTATTTTTATTATAGCGTACACATATTTTATTCGTGATAGTTTTGAACTTTGAATTTCCCATGTTCCACTAAGGTTGATTTGACGGTCGTGTGCGCGCCGTATATACATAATATATAAATACACGAGACTGGACAGAGCTGGGTTGACAAAATAAAAAAATAAAATATCGAATAGAAGTACGAATAACGGGATTGAATGGCAAAACGACAGCGCGCAGAGCACATTCGTCCAAGTACGTGTACATATACGTATATGCGCTATAGTGTAGTCGTGTGCGTATATATATTTAAATCCAATGACATATCTACACGTTGGGTCCAAAAGAATAAATTACATTTTACCGCGTCACCTTTTGAAAACCATACACTGGCGGCACCGGCAGCGGCGTGGACCGCAATCTTTTGACGTGGACATTTGCATAATGCGACAAGTAGCCGCTGCTTTTCTGCTTCCGCCAACCTCTTCGTACGTTTTCTTTGTGGACGCGAGCGCTCACACACACACACGCCACATTACAACCGGCGGCATTCGAACGACCACCAATAATGTATAATAATAATAATAATATATATATATAGGTAGGTAGGTAGATAGATGATATATATGTGAACCCTTAGCACGTCGTCTCCGTCTGCATACCGTCATCCTATATGTTATACATATATATACTATTATTATGCATATTATATATATTATATAATATGTATACCTAACTCTTATTAGAATTGAATCTACCGGTTGTTAATGTAATTATCCCGGATGACGTTTACAAATCGACGAAGCTGGGTTATATTTTATTCTCCGGATTCCTTTTCCATGGTAAAAAAAAATTATATTATATATGATAATAATAATAATAATAATAATAATAATAGTACAAGTATGCAATACGCGGCGCGTACCTCTATAAAAAAAAAGGAGGTAGCCGCACTGCAGCAGTGTGTTGTCTCGGTTCGCCCCATTAATGGCACTTTAATAACGCGCGCGGCAGCGGCGGGCAATTAAATACACATTATAGTTATACCCGCGTGTGAGTGTGTGTGCGTTGTGTGTGAGCGCGCGCGTTTGACTTTTTATACGAATGCTATCGTGAGTCTTAGAAAAAAATTACTTCCATCTCTTAGCGGCCGGTCATCTGTTGCGGCGGGTTGTGTGTACGCTATTATATTGTATATATATATATTATTCCACCCCGCTCGTTTCCTCCCTAATGATGAATACCACAGAGTCGTCGTCGCTGTCGTCGTCCCACCGTCTTCCTTTTTACGTTTTTTTCCCCCTATACACACACACATATATATATATATTATTTATATAATAATTCACATATATAGTAATTTTTTTCTCCTATACGAACCGCGCTCCGTAATGACGTACCGAATTATGTGGAAGATTTCTGGGCTCATTAAGCACTCCGTTCGAAAAATGGTTTTCGGCGTGTTAATGACGCCGGAAAACGCGCTTTCTCCTCTCCCAAGGGTATAATCGTGTACGCATTGCCAGTACGCCGCCGAGTTACACTGTCTGTGTCCGTGTGTATAATAATAATAATAATAATAATACATAATACATAGAGACATGCATCACCCAAACCCATTGTTGTACAGAATGCGTATGTAATAATGTTATGTGTTACATTACACTATTACAGTCTCGTTGCGCAGGGTAAAATCCATCGTTTCATATCTAAATCGTGTGCAGTCCTTTCGAACGGATGCGCGCATTAATTGCTTCTCCCGGACGTCGCAGTTGACCTTTGAGATTTTTATTTTCCCCGCTGAATTTTCCTGCTTTACTCGCGGGTATATTGTTGTTGTCCCTTGCGATTGAGCCCATTGTGCCCTCAAGTGTGAAATCTGGTTGATTTTTGTACTCACCCCGCATTGATATTTTCCAAAAACATTTTGCGGCTTAAAAAATTATTCAAATTTATTTACGATTTTAAATAATATATAAAACAGTTTTACGTTGAGACTGCTTTACAAACTTCGTTTCTAAAGCTTTCGTATTCGTTGTCAGAGTTCATTCTTATGATCTGACGCGGTATATAATAATGTATTCCGAAGAAAATTAAGTCAGTAATTAACATAAAAAAATATTTACTTGACGCGTTTGCATTAATCGACGGCGAAAAACGACATCAGAAAATCTGTAAGACTTACAGTTTCCTTTTTTATTCTTGTTTATATTTTTTGCAAGCCTATGTTTTCCGGCCGCCTTGCATCGCTCAGCATCGCTTTGGAGTTAAGCCAAAACATAGTTACAATGTTTATTTTGACCGTTCTCCCCGCCACCGCCTCCAACGAACTGTACTATATACTATATATCCCACGTTTTCGTGTAATTTATTCTCTGGCGGTGACTTGCTCGCTCTCTTTCTCTCTTTTATTCTCTTTCTCTCTCTCTCTCTCTCTCTCTGTCACTTCTCTACGGGCATTATGTAAATTTAGCGCTTGCAACAATTTCGGTGGGTCGGGCTTGACGAAATCCGATCAAGACGAATCGCCATAGACACGTACACCGAGTGTGCCGAGCAGGATCGGTGTGTGTAGGGTGGTAGAGAGGAATAAGGGTTGGAGGAGAGGGCGCGGCGGACGAGTTGATGAGATTTCGCGCGCTACGACCCTAACGTTTTGGATGATTCACATTGTGTACGTGTGTACGTATATATATATATATATAGATGTGTGTGTGTGCAAAAGCAAATGAATACGTTGCGTTTGCCCCGTATATATACTACGTATTTGCACAAGCCTTTGAAGGTGGGTCCCCGTGACTCATCCGAATAGGCCGTCGGAGAAGAGAAGAGGATTTCGTGCTCGGAATGTTTTCGCACAAGTCTCCACCACCTTCTCGTTGCAGAGGGTCGTTGGATCATTAACCCAATGGGGGTTTTTATTTACTATCGCAATTGGCGATGACGGTGGTGACAAATTTCCAGGACAATAGAACCTTGTTATATACGTTCACACACACACACATATACCCCCAGGGAAATCGTCAAAACTATACTATATACATAACGGGGATGTACCTATATACATACGTACTTTATTTATTCCTGTATAATATGAATATATTGTGCTTTTTTATATATATTTTATTTAATTAAATTTTTGTACATTTCCAGTGGGTCGAAGAGAGCTACATAAATTTTGAAAAGGGCATCAACTGGCGGTCGTACGTCGTGTGCGATGTCACCAAGCAAAACGTCAACAATTGGGTGTGGACGCCTTTCATAGAGCGCGGGCTGGCCAATCTCATTTACATCGAAGTCAAGTTTACCATCCGAGATTGTTCGCTGTTCCCGGGGTACGCGCTGTCATGCAAAGAAACGTTTTCACTACTCTACTATGAGTTTGACGTGGCCACCAGGGAACCACCGCCTTGGGAACCTGACAGCTATAAATCTGTTGGTTAGTATATCCATCATATATTTTGTTGTCATGTAATTATAGAAAAATTGACCTATGGAAGGTTAGTTTTTTACAGTTTTCTATCGTTTCCGAAACACTACTATTGGTGATAGTACACAGATTTTTCAAGAAATATTTTTTTTATGTTTCTATATTAATTATCGAAAGTAATTACCTCGAACGGCATACTATATATAATTCACTATTGGAAATGTTAAAAATATTTGAAACTGCTCATCGTAGTGAAACGAGAAATCCCTTATATGTATAACTATGCATGCACGTGAAGTATACTTGTATATATTATGACAGTATAGTGTACTATATATACGAGCATACATTACTATAAGGAAAAAAATAATATTAATATTACAGCATTATAATTTATAAACTATTGTCGTTTTTAAAGACATACCTAAATCAACGATATTGTTCAATTTTCGTTTTAATATTAGTGATGGTGTTTGGCAACAATAATATGTATGTATTATTTCTTTCCTTAATACGAAATGAAGCTATGAATATAATGTAGCCATGTAGGTTGGTACATATAAAATGAATTTTCGACCAATAATAATTATATAATCGTCTAGTACGTCTACTATTATATAGTAATAATTCAATACTCAAATTAATCATAATTTATATCACAAACTTTTTATTTTGTACGTCTCAATAGACATTTTCGACATTTTTAACGAGACTTATATACGAAATATATACTCTTAGTGATGAAACGCGTTTAATCAAAGGATCTCACCAGGGCGATGAAAAAGACTATATTATAGATATAGTATAGGATGCTAGATCTAAAGATATATATTATTCCTTTGATGATCTATATCTCTTTGTCTTAGCCCGGAACACTTGTTTTGATGGTGGTAATAACGCACGAAACATTTATATATTATATACATCGATATGAAATTCGACGTCCGAACTATTATATAGTTAGGTGGTATACCTATAGAGTATACCGTCACACACTTTTCTAACGATTCGATTTTAAAATATATATTTATGATTACGTGGTGTGTTACAGGTCGGATAGCTGCTGGTGAAGGGAGGTTCAACGCTAATAACGAAGTGGTGATCAATACTGAGACAAAAGCTGTGAAAGTTACCAAAAAAGGAGTGTACTTTGCCTTCAGGGACCAGGGCGCATGTATTTCCATCATGGCAGTCAAGGTAAGACAAGATAACACGTATATAATAATATAATAATAATTGCATTCACGTTCATTTATTATAAAAGAGACCGAGTTATTTTTACTATCATACTTTGTAGTTTGTGTGCCTATTTTTTTCTTCTTTTCAATTATACGACCTGCCTCTGATGGTCGTCGTATCTTATCACCAGCGTTTGACGTTAGAAGATTATGTTTATGCGAATGCAGGCATAACGTAGAGTTATTATTCTTCGTTGCTTGTTTTGATTAAAATTTACAAGATCATTTAGAAAGGTCGGCGGTGTTCGTGTTGTTTATAAAATTTATAATATTTCACGTTCATAATCGCCGGTTTTTGGCACGTCTATATGTATAAAATATAATTTGATTTTCGTGTTTTTGTTTTTTTTTTTTTTTGTTCGCCTTGCGTTTTTTCTATTCTCCGCTAATCATATCCCACGCCTGTAAATCTGATGCTGTTAGATTGTGTCACATTAAAAAAACAAAAACTTCTCTATACCGCGGTTCAGCGTTGTTTATAGTTGTATGCATGTATATTGTATATACTATATATGAATGTAGGTATATGTACATATTATTTAGTTTTCGTGCAGTGGGGATGGAAGTGGAGGGGAGTATGAAGTAGAAAAAAGAGTTTAAAAAAAAGAAGCGAAAGACTACACGGACAACAACGCGATGCAATAATTATGTCAGAGAGACCCGGTGGGCGAATTTATAGTTATTGTCGTTAATACGGTAACGTCTCGGGGACCGGGTCGTAAATTTCGTCGTGGAATAAATAAAATAATAACACTGAGAAATTCTACGAGGGAGAACCGTCGTTATACGGGACACGAGATATCACACCATTAGCCTCCATCGAAATATGAATTCGTGATTACGTATAAATAAACGCAGCGCGAGAAGGTCAATTTGAATTTGTATAATACGATGGTGCATAATATAATGGACGCGTACACCACAGCAGGCTCAGGAAACTAAATATACTCGCGGGTTGGTGTTTGAGTTGTCCGAGATATTTACGACGGCTTAGCGGCTAGTAAGACAAAAAAAAAATTAGTGGATAGCTACAAATGTCACTCAAGCATCGTGTTCGAACAAAACGGAACACAGACCAAAATGTATGGTTGAGTTGTTTAACTCCTTCCCCACCTTAAAAAAAATAAAAAATAAAACAACATTAAATACTTAGATTTTTAATTTTTTCTCATTAGGTTTTTTAGAATAATTTCGAATTCTCTCGAGTCTCGATACAAAATAAAAACGAATATAATCAGTTATTACTGCCAGGATGCTTCCAAGTTCCAATGTACAATAATACTTTCCTAAGGATTTATATTTATGTATATTTTGCTTGGATCGATCTAATGTTGACGTAGGTATACCCTTACGTGCGTGCGTGTGTAAATTCGTTTTGTTTAGTTCACAGAAATACATTAAAACGGTCATGATCCCCTCCCTGTATAATTTATAGCCTATATACCTATAAAGAGTATTTTATGCTTAAGCCAGAGGGTTTCTGTAATTATTAAGTTTCTTAATGCGTAAAAGCCTTTTTATCTCTAGAGACTCCGAAATCTCGAAAGACAAATTACCGAAAACTTTTTAATTCGTATAATGAAACTCCTTTTTTGTAATTGGCGACTAAAGGTTTATAAAAAAAAAAAACTTTTTTGATGCCATTTAAATGTATTTTATATTATATACAGTTAAGTAACTTTTATAAGTGACGATTTTATGAATTCAAGAAACAGATGTTTCTATACACATCACTTTAGACTGTTACGTTATAATTATTCGTATACATATTATACGATAGTATATTAATTATTAATTAAACACTTACATAAAACATCTGCTATCGCCATCCATGTGCAACAAATACCTGTCTAATATTATATATATATATGAATTAAAAATTACACCCTTGAGACGTAGGTAGGTACTAACATGGAATGAACAACGTCTATTGTACATTCCACGCTCTATATGTAACTATTATTTACTAACCGACCCACTAACTCTCAATAACTTTTATACCCCTTCATTTATAGTTTTATTTGAACAAAAATATTTCGTACTTCACAATATAATGTTTTAAACTATTAGAGCCTATATTATATATATTATACATTTTTTATTTTACGAGCAAATAAACATTTCGTTTCATTTTTTTTTTTGTCTTAACTTGTCATTTACAGGTTATATTTAACTTAAATGATGTTCCTAAATCGTCTTTTTTTCCATAGATGATATTTCTGTCATCTCCCGTTATTAAAGACTAAAGATACTAAAATAATATGCAACGAATAAAACAAAAATGCAGCGTGTAAGATAACAACTGTGATCAAACAAAAATAGCTTTTTATGTAACGGCATACTACCTAATCGTATAAAAATTAACAGATATATTATATGTGTATGTATATAATACGATAAAAAAATATAAGGTCCGTAAACTCACGTTTTGGGGTGGGTCCGTCGAAGACATGATTTTTTTTATAGCTTTTTCTTGTTATTTATATAGAAAAAGTAATATGTATATTGTATATCTGTGTACAAAACCCCATGCTGATCGACGGAATAATAAAAATCTTAAAAATAATAGTATGAGTGTTTGTAACTCGTTTTTTTTTTGCTGCTGTATATTTAACGGCAAACCTGCCAATGATTTCTGGTTGACATTAAAAATCAACCGAATTATTCTAATTTTGTGTATGGTGCTGCTGTTGTTTAGATATGCCTTTAACCGTTAATAATTAATATATTATGTATCATAATATCGTGTATAATAATTATGTAGTATATCATAATTGTGCATTTTTAAGTTAAAATTAACATTTGGTCTGCCGCAGGTGTATTACATCGTGTGCCCAGAAGTTGTGATAAACTTTGCAAACTTCTCTGCTACTCCAACTGCTAGAGAACTTACCCAAATCGAACATGCCACCGGCAAATGTGTTGATAATGCTGAAGTGGTAGGAGGTGGTGCTCCAACTTACCTGTGCAAAGGAGATGGAAAATGGTATCTACCGTCAGGTGGATGCAAGTGCAAAGCTGGTTTTGAAGCAGACATAGAAGCGCAAACTTGTATAAGTAAGTATTATGCAAAAATGTAATATTAAGAAAAATTGTTCATTGGAAATATTTTTCATGATATGTATGATCACATGCAATTAAAGTTGATTTTTTTCAACAAAAATGATATTTTATGAACATTGTTGTTAAATTGATGTTACATATTAATCTGTCGTGTTAGTAGTATTTCGTACAATTAGTATACTTTAGAATTGAAATACGCTATTAAACGTGTCCAACGTTTTTGTTAGTAGAAAAACATTGACTTTTGTATATAACCACATACAGTAGGTATTTCTTATTAATACTTGTAGTATCTGATCTATTTATCTTTTCTTGTAATAGTTTGCAGATCTCATTTTCACATAATCAATAATTCGTAAAATACCTATCTATTCAATTATATGTACAATATTATTGTATACTAAATTAAAATTATTTTGTCAAATTTCCGAATACTTTAAAAGTAAAAACTAAGTGAAATATTGCCTGTTATGTATTTTATAACGAGAGTGTATAGGTACCGTACAATTATTTTACATAAATACGGATATTGTCTCATCCGAGAAATTATGGTTTTTAATTAAAAAGTCTATAGAACCTCTTTTGAGTATCATCATTCATCGCTCAAGCAGACAATGTACACGTGTTATCTCATATAAAAGCCGACCGGAAATCCAATTAAAATGATCCTTTTCTCAGACTTTATACAGGCTACAGCAATAGCGCGATAACAACAACGACGACGACGACGACGACGAGTTCCTTCGCCTTACTTTAACAATAATAATAATAATAATAATAATAATAATAATAATAAGCTCGCTGGATTCAGTTTGGCGCGATTATAAATTATATCAAAGGTCGTTTGTCGCACTATATTTACACAAGCAGTCGCAAGTCCTGAATTGGTTGGGGGGGGGGGACTGAAAGCAGTGTAGTAGTTTGAACCCGGTAAAGTTTTCGCGCGAGACTGAGTCGGAGATAATTAGCCGAGATAAGAGGAAACTATGTTATCTCATGTTACCCTTAAAGGAAAAGTGGCGGGGGTTGAGCGCATCTCGTCCCTTATAATATTTGTTTATATATATATATACCTGAACAAACCGATTTTTGGTCTTGCTCGCCAGAGGTGTAATCGCAAATTCTCCATCTGATCGTTATTTCAAAAGAAATTCTTTTCGTACACACAAACCACTCCTGCCAACTTTTAACAATCGTCCTCGGGTGGTCCACGAGTACGCACGATAAATGGTTGTTTCCATATATTAATTTAATGCTTACCTACCCTATAAGTAGGTAGTAGGTACGACTGCTAGCGCTAAATTTTTTTCTGTCAGTTATCGTTTTGAAAAATTACTCTTGTATGTATGAATATATTTTTTTAAATAATAATGTGATGTATAAGTAGGTATCTACTGAACGTTAACTGCATTTTTATTAGCGTTATTATTTATCATACATATATACGAAACCGTTTTTATGTACGTATATACCTACGGTGGTTATATATTTTCTCTCGTACAAATATTATATTATCGACGTCGGATGCCGTTTGTATACGTGCATATTATATAGGAAAAAAGAATCCGGTTCGATTAAAGTAAAAAAAATATTTATATATATATAAAACGGTAACGTTAATTAGTATACTCGGCAATACATGTGTGTGTGTGTGTGTGTGTGTGTGTGTGGCGGCATGCACTCTTCGCCCGACAATACGCCAAAAAGCCCATTAACTCGTTTATTTATATTATACTCTCATCGACGTTATCCGCGTTTTATGCAGATTCGGTGGACGAGCTGGATGGCGTGCTTGCGCGTGTGAGTGTATTCGCCGCCGTCGGTGTTTGTTTAATAAGCGATTTATATGCTCGGGTATATTGTGTGCAGTATACACATATATAATGTCGGAATATTATTATCGAATACAATGCGCACAATATATTACTATTATTATTTCAATATATAATAACGCGTTTTATAATTGCCCCGTTACGTTGTTGTGCGGCTGTCGTTATTATTATTATTTTCAAACCGCTGTCGTGCGCTAGCGTGGGCCCCTCGCGATTCGTCTTCTCCCGAGATTCCAGCGAAATCGCTTCACCGTCGTGCGTAGCTCTCGAGCGGTGTATCGTTTTAGCGTAGGTTGACGGAACTTAATATTATATTTTATATACGGACTCACTGCTGGATAACACCGGTGGGTATACACTTGTGAAGTCCGCGCGGCGTGATGGAACGAAAAATATTTCAGGTAAACAGATATTATTATACTGATATTATAATGAGTACTAATGACACCGAACTATGGAATAAGTACGAATACGCCCGAGCTTACGACGAGACCTGCATTACGATATTATTTTTTGCCGGCAACATAAACCCGGATACCACTTTCATAAAACTCAAACCGTGAAAAGGTGGATGAAAAAACCATAAGCATATATTACGTTAAAAATATAATGCGTAAAATTATATGCAGTACCTATACCGCCATCGTCTTATTTTACGACACGAACTCGAGTTATTATTATACCCGTCTTGAGACATGTCGTATAATATAATATACGTATCTCTCATTCTCTCACCTGCACAGAATGTGCGTTCCGAAACTTTGTTGCGCCGCGTTGCAGGTAACTGGTTACTGGTGTACGCGTACTGTTCGATAGATAAATTATAATATAGTGAAGTATATCTTATAGTTTTCCAGATGGAGGTAGATCAATATAAAAGCGCATAATTATTGACGGCAGGATCCTCTACGGAGAATGATTATGCTATGCTAAAGTATCCATATCGCGGGATAAGAGTGCATTTCTAATGGCTCAATTGTTTAATAATAGTGTTTTGTACTTTTTTTTCTTCTATACTTTACACCCCCCAACGGGACACCGTCAAATTTTTCGTTGCAAGTTTTTATCTTTATTATATTATTTATAAATCATATTATATATAAATTATAATATGTTGTCTAACCTTTTACGACGGACTTTGTCGAGAATTACGATTATAATTCAAATAATATTAAAATTCCACTTATAAGTGTCTCTTGTATTTCATATAATAATAATGATATCGCTTATACAACGTGCTGCAGAAGGTATTTTTTCATTTTGTTTTTGTCGCCACTGATATATCCGTCCCGTTTATGTGAAACATTTTTATCTGGTTACATAATTATTGGTTTCCGGAGCTTTGGAGATCAATTTATTAAAGTTTGCGCTGTTTATATAGTGTATATTTTATATAGAGTGGAGCACCGAAACACTAATACTCACTGTGAGAGGTTTTGCCGAAAAATAAAACGCACTGAAGTACGGTTGTGTGTATAAAATAAAAACAATATTATATACTTCCGTAGCGCACAATTTTGGTCTTTGGAAACGTCCGCTAAAATGTATCAATGTAGTGGTATTAACGTATATAATATGTGTGTACGTGATGGATTAAAAAAATAAAGTTTTCGCCTTTTTGTAGCAATAGTTATAAAGCTGCAATAAGTGAGTTCGTCGTCTCACTCATCCGTCTTTTTCCAACAGATGTTTGTAATATGTATCGATAAATGTATATCTGTATATGTGAACAAGCCTCAAACCATATTATAAGTTCGCTTTTTACTAAAATATACTTCATTGTATACATTTTAGGATAACTCTTTAAAATATACTTTTAAAAATTGTTGTAAACATTCCAATTGAAAAAAAATCGATATAAACCTCGTTGAGTTCGATATAATGCATTAGAATTAGAATCGAAACCCTGGACTCCCAAAAATCATACGTGGTTGTCGAATCGGGGACCGGGATTGCGCGGTAGCGACATACCTAATAATATATAGTATCCACTATATATGCCGATGATAATATGATGCAGTGGCGCACAGAGGTATTTTGAGAGCACATGCAACTATCTAAAGTTACCCACCCACCCCGTCCCACCCATTTTTTTAAATTTAAAAACAAAACGTTTTTTTATTGAACTGTTATCTGTAAGTGTAATTCACTTAAAATAACTAGAAATAATAATTAAGATGTCCACACCAGAAACCCGAGACGTCTTAGATCAGCTAGATCTTACCTTTACATTTCATTACAATACATTATAAATATAACATATTTAATACTCAATGAAATACAAAAATTTTAATTAAAAAAAAAAATAATAAGATTTTGTAATGACATTATACAGTTAACACTTTTTATTTTTAATGTAAAGCTTTAAATAAATATGGACTAGTTTTACTAAAATTTTCAATAACTTCTTCATAATTAATGTTTATGTCATTTTCACAGGACATAATCATTAGTCCTTCTAATCGATCATTTCCCATTGTAGATCGTAGTCTAGTTTTAATGAGTTTCAACTTTGAAAAACTTCTTTCAGTTGATACACTTCCAACTGGCAAGGTCAAAGACAGCTTCAACAAAATATAAATATTTGGAAATAGTGTATGAAGACCATTGCGCATAAAAACCCTGTAAAAAAAGTTGTACATAAATAAGTAATTTAATACAATTCAGTAAACATATTGAATACAAGAACATTAAAAAAAAACATAGAAAATAGCAATACAAGATTTTTTACCTGAATACTGGTAACAAACTTCCATGATTTTCAATTTCATTTTTTAAAGAATCACTATCATCATCAACATCGTTATCATAATTTTCCGTTTCTAATTCAGAATCTGAATCTTTAGCTATATCATTATCACTATGTAAATATTTTGGCAACTCATCAGTTTTAAGAAAAACATCAAAACATTGTATGAAATTTAAATATTCATCACAAATGACTTCTGGTTTTAAATATTTTTTATAAATTTTACAAACCATTAAAAATGCATCTTTAGGTAATTGGGTTGGGTTTGCTTTTAATTCTTTCATTCGTTTTTTTGATAGAAGAGATAAATCTTTAAATATTGATATTTGTTCTAAATTTTCATTGTTATCGCCAAGGAATCGTCTATTTAATTCAGACAAAATGAGATCAACAGAAGCAAAATAAGTATTTACCCGAAAATTAACTATAGGGTCACTGATTGTCTCATCTGATGCTTCTTCATCGAACATGATTTTTCTTTTTCTAGCATGTCTTTCTGGAAGTGGCTGAAATTCAATATTTTGCATTGAATCCATAAATGCTTCAGATTCAGCCAAAATAATTTTGAATGATTCCTCTGATCGATATGATGTTATTTCCCCATATTTTTTTTTTATTAAAAATGATGCAGCCAACAAATCAAAATCTGTTTTTTGTAGCAAACTTGATACAGGCTCAAGAATTTGAAGCAGAACTTTAAAACTATAAGCTGTATAGACAAATCTTGTTGACTGAAAATAATTTAAAAAACCTCCAGCTTCTGAACCAGCTTTTTTGTCACCCGATTCACTGCGAATGACATTTAAACATTCAACTATTGCAACATAAGTATTTAGTACAACATCTAATGCAAATTTATGAGACATCCATCTAGTACAGGACACTCTTTTTAATCGACGGATTTGCTGTCCATGATTATGTTTTTTTTGTTGCTTTTCATATACGTCTGCACGAAATTTACTGCTAGATATAAAATCGTATAGTCGTTCTAAATTTCCAAAAAGATCCATGGCATTTGAACAAACACTAACTGCATCAGCGACAATTAAATTTAAGCGATGACTGAAACACCAGATAAATATTGCTTGAGGATTTTCATTACGTATTAATTGTTGTAATCCATTATATCGCCCCCTCATATTTGAGGCCCCGTCGTAAGATTGACCAACCAAATTATTGGTCCAATCTAAATTGTTTAATTTACTAACTTCTTTGAAAATTTCACACAAGGCGTTGCCAGTTGTTTTTGGAGTATCCTTCAATGCTAAGAGTCTCTCTTTAATTTCACATTTTTCCTCGTCTACATATCTGAACACAAAAGAAATTTGTTCTCGGTGAGAGACATCAAACGTCGAATCTATGGCAATACTGAAAAACTTTGAATTTTTTATAGTGAGAGATATACTTGATTTTATATGATTTGACACTATATCAATCAACGCATTCTGTCGGCGCCATGAAGTAAATGAGTATTGAGTACGTTGGTTAATTTTATATTTTTGCTTTAGAGAACTGAAATAAGTCGCCATTGCAGGGGAAAATTTTGATATTAAAGAACATAAATCTTTGAAATTGCCACACATATTATTTTGCCAGTTTTCCCTATGCCCTCTAAAAGCCATATTGTGTCTTCCTAAAAATAGAGTTATGTCAATCAGCTCTTTGATAATTTCTCTATTCATGAAAACTTCTTCATTTTTTTTAGTAGCTATAGATGGTACCAATGGTAAGGACGATTGTCGAATTTTAAGTGTGAGTGAAGAGTAAATATGTGCTGAAGTTTTTTCATGATTTTCTATTTTGTTAGTACACGTACTCCAATTTTTATAACCATCAATAACCCAAGCTTTATTAGGAGCATTTTTACCCTTTCCAGGAAAAAGTATACATTCAATACAATACAAACGTTCAGTTGACTTAGAATATGATAACCAATTCCGTCTTGTTACAGTCCCATCAGGTAATATTCTATGATACAATTTTGGTGAAAATCGATGACCATTTATAACTGGATATTTACTACCAGGAAGTTCTGTTGGAAGTGGTTGACATGGTCCCATTTCTAATATTTTGGAAACAATTTCATAAGCAATATTTGCATTTGACTGAAAATCTTTTGACAAAAATTGTGCTGGATCGTTTTCAAATACATTTGCAATCATATTATCTATAAAGAAAAATACAAAAAAAATAAAATTATAAAATATAGGTATACTTATTAGTATTAGTATTCAAATTAAAACTGTCAACTAAACAAATATAAAAATAAAATTATAGGTACCTACAGTTTAAATAATGTAAGATTTAATATAAGAGTTAGTTATAGAAATAGATAGTTAAAAGTAGTTTATTATATAATAATACTTGTTTATAACTAAATAATAATAAACAAAAAATACTCATACCTTTGTCAGAAACATCATTTGATAGTCTAGAAGATTTAAAAAATGTATTCAGCTTTGCAGTATAAAGTACTGATTTTCGTTTTTTGCACGATTTAGTATGTCTTAGCCAATTTGTATTATTCATTAAACCTTTTATTTTACCACAAGCACAGATGTTAGTTTCATTAACTAACGACATATTGCTAATCTGTAAAAATAAATTTTAAATAAAATATGCTTCTTTTTTTGGGATGATATAAATCAAACTGATTTTAAGTGAACAGTTTTATTATTTAGTTTTTATTTTGATTAAGAAATTAAGCATTGAACCTAATTATGTTATACTTACCTAACATAATAATATGCATAATGCATTTTATTAACTTATAATGTAAAATTTATATACCTAGCTATAATTAGTATACCTTATAAATATTAATATATTATAAAATTAGCTATAACTACAAGTATTTAAAATCAATGAAACTTACTTCTAAAGTAGACGTTGTTTTCTGCCCGTTAATTAAACACTTATTTAATAAACAATAGGTAATTTTTTTTATTATAATTCAACTAAAATACCTATAACATATTAATAAATTTAATATAACGTAATGTAATATTTTAATAAATAACTGTGAAATAATAATAAGTGATAGTTAATTTCACCAATACATAATTGCCATAGACGCATACAAAATAATTTGAAGTTCGTAGATCAAACAGTCAACAGACGAACAACACAAATGAGTTGAAATGACAAATAACAAATTCACTAAAATATCTATTGGAAAGTGTGGAATACTGGAATTTACTAACCGATTACCGATTATCAGTTATTTCATAATAATTAATAATTTTCGTGAAACCAATTGATAGGCCGGGTAGGGTGTGGTTGCTGGCTAGTTATATCGAGGGAACAGGACACATTTCTAAAAATAAATACCTAATATACGCTGTTATTGGTATCTTATCACCATATTACCCGTATTGTCATTTTGATTACGTATACAAAAATATAATAATTCATAATATTAAATATTAAATATACGAGCGTATCAGCTAAACAGTGTACAACATTAATATTCGAATATTGTATTATTCTTGATTCAGATGATATAACAAATAACAATTATTACTGTTTCTAATACTTTATCATTTAATATGTTGTAATTATAAGTAACTTGTAACATCATATAAGTTGTCGTATAGCATTGTCATACTTTACTCGTTTACTCCTATAATTTATCTAGGTACCTATAACCATAGAGACTATACCTACCCACCCACCCCCCACGAAAGCACATGCAGTTGCACTCCTTGCTAACCTGTCTGGGCGCCACTGNNNNCAGTGGCGCACAGAGGTATTTTGAGAGCACATGCAACTATCTAAAGTTACCCACCCACCCCGTCCCACCCATTTTTTTAAATTTAAAAACAAAACGTTTTTTTATTGAACTGTTATCTGTAAGTGTAATTCACTTAAAATAACTAGAAATAATAATTAAGATGTCCACACCAGAAACCCGAGACGTCCTAGATCAGCTAGATCTTACCTTTACATTTCATTACAATACATTATAAATATAACATATTTAATACTCAATGAAATACAAAAATTTTAATTAAAAAAAAAAAATAATAAGATTTTGTAATGACATTATACAGTTAACACTTTTTATTTTTAATGTAAAGCTTTAAATAAATATGGACTAGTTTTACTAAAATTTTCAATAACTTCTTCATAATTAATGTTTATGTCATTTTCACAGGACATAATCATTAGTCCTTCTAATCGATCATTTCCCATTGTAGATCGTAGTCTAGTTTTAATGAGTTTCAACTTTGAAAAACTTCTTTCAGTTGATACACTTCCATCTGGTAAGGTCAAAGACAGCTTCAACAAAATATAAATATTTGGAAATAGTGTATGAAGACCATTGCGCATAAAAACCCTGTAAAAAAAGTTGTACATAAATAAGTAATTTAATACAATTCAGTAAACATATTGAATACAAGAACATTAAAAAAAAACATAGAAAATAGCAATACAAGATTTTTTACCTGAATACTGGTAACAAACTTCCATGATTTTCAATTTCATTTTTTAAAGAATCACTATCATCATCAACATCGTTATCATAATTTTCCGTTTCTAATTCAGAATCTGAATCTTTAGCTATATCATTATCACTATGTAAATATTTTGGCAACTCATCAGTTTTAAGAAAAACATCAAAACATTGTATGAAATTTAAATATTCATCACAAATGACTTCTGGTTTTAAATATTTTTTATAAATTTTACAAACCATTAAAAATGCATCTTTAGGTAATTGGGTTGGGTTTGCTTTTAATTCTTTCATTCGTTTTTTTGATAGAAGAGATAAATCTTTAAATATTGATATTTGTTCTAAATTTTCATTGTTATCGCCAAGGAATCGTCTATTTAATTCAGACAAAATGAGATCAACAGAAGCAAAATAAGTATTTACCCGAAAATTAACTATAGGGTCACTGATTGTCTCATCTGTTGCTTCTTCATCGAACATGATTTTTCTTTTTCTAGCATGTCTTTCTGGAAGTGGCTGAAATTCAATATTTTGCATTGAATCCATAAATGCTTCAGATTCAGCCAAAATAATTTTGAATGATTCCTCTGATCGATATGATGTTATTTCCCCATATTTTTTTTTTATTAAAAATGATGCAGCCAACAAATCAAAATCTGTTTTTTGTAGCAAACTTGATACAGGCTCAAGAATTTGAAGCAGAACTTTAAAACTATAAGCTGTATAGACAAATCTTGTTGACTGAAAATAATTTAAAAAACCTCCAGCTTCTGAACCAGCTTTTTTGTCACCCGATTCACTGCGAATGACATTTAAACATTCAACTATTGCAACATAAGTATTTAGTACAACATCTAATGCAAATTTATGAGACATCCATCTAGTACAGGACACTCTTTTTAATCGACGGATTTGCTGTCCATGATTATGTTTTTTTTGTTGCTTTTCATATACGTCTGCACGAAATTTACTGCTAGATATAAAATCGTATAGTCGTTCTAAATTTCCAAAAAGATCCATGGCATTTGAACAAACACTAACTGCATCAGCGACAATTAAATTTAAGCGATGACTGAAACACCAGATAAATATTGCTTGAGGATTTTCATTACGTATTAACTGTTGTAATCCATTATATCGCCCCCTCATATTTGAGGCCCCGTCGTAAGATTGACCAACCAAATTATTGGTCCAATCTAAATTGTTTAATTTACTAACTTCTTTGAAAATTTCACACAAGGCGTTGCCAGTTGTTTTTGGAGTATCCTTCAATGCTAAGAGTCTCTCTTTAATTTCACATTTTTCCTCGTCTATATATCTGAACACAAAAGAAATTTGTTCTCGGTGAGAGACATCAAACGTCGAATCTATGGCAATACTGAAAAACTTTGAATTTTTTATAGTGAGAGATATACTTGATTTTATATGATTTGACACTATATCAATCAACGCATTCTGTCGGCGCCATGAAGTAAATGAGTATTGAGTACGTTGGTTAATTTTATATTTTTGCTTTTGAGAACTGAAATAAGTCGCCATTGCAGGGGAAAATTTTGATATTAAAGAACATAAATCTTTGAAATTGCCACACATATTATTTTGCCAGTTTTCCCTATGCCCTCTAAAAGCCATATTGTGTCTTCCTAAAAATAGAGTTATGTCAATCAGCTCTTTGATAATTTCTCTATTCATGAAAACTTCTTCATTTTTTTTAGTAGCTATAGATGGTACCAATGGTAAGGACGATTGTCGAATTTTAAGTGTGAGTGAAGAGTAAATATGTGCTGAAGTTTTTTCATGATTTTCTATTTTGTTAGTACACGTACTCCAATTTTTATAACCATCAATAACCCAAGCTTTATTAGGAGCATTTTTACCCTTTCCAGGAAAAAGTATACATTCAATACAATACAAACGTTCAGTTGACTTAGAATATGATAACCAATTCCGTCTTGTTACAGTCCCATCAGGTAATATTCTATGATACAATTTTGGTGAAAATCGATGACCATTTATAACTGGATATTTACTACCAGGAAGTTCTGTTGGAAGTGGTTGACATGGTCCCATTTCTAATATTTTGGAAACAATTTCATAAGCAATATTTGCATTTGACTGAAAATCTTTTGACAAAAATTGTGCTGGATCGTTTTCAAATACATTTGCAATCATATTATCTATAAAGAAAAATACAAAAAAAATAAAATTATAAAATATAGGTATACTTATTAGTAAAAATATAATATATAAATTACTTGGTTCAGCCATTAGTGTAGTAGATA